CACTTCCCTCTCCTGTGCATAGCAATGCATTATGATTGCCGTGGATAAGCTGAAGATTACAACATCAGCTCTCTTCATTTTCGTTGATGGTGGCAAGTATCCGGTATCAGCCATGCACGTGAAAAAGCTCTCGATGGCCCGAGCAAGACAGTAGAGGGAAATCTCAATTCGCCTGCTTTTCTTCTCAATGGCCAAGGCCAAGCCAGTTGGGAACTGCCGAACAATGCAATTGATTAAGCAAAGATATAAAATTCATCTTGCTACCAAATTAAAAGAGTTGAAGAATGTTCATACCGTCCCCATCGCTACCATTGGAATATTACATCTCCTGAAAATCCTAAATAGAAAGCATGTCCATGCCCTGAAGAACAATAAGAGATGGCTTTTTAACTAATGAAAAATCCACTTCTCAACAAAATTTGAAGTGATTCGAAGTAACAATAAGGTGGAAATACAATGATTTACCATTTTGAATATACAAGTTCATATAATTATTTACCTGACATATAGTGGTGAACATGCCAGTTTAACTTTTCTTTTTTCGTTTTTATAAAAAACCCAGAAATCACCCAAACCCTTTCGCAACCCTGGATTCGAAACTGGGGCCCCCGCTGAACCCTACTATCTTTGGAAGGCAGGAAACTCTAGCAAATAGCTAGATACCTTGAGGAAGTGAATCCCAGACAACGTGGGAGCAAACCATGGGCCTGACCACTTGACTAGCTGATTCCATATCAGATATTGTCCAACATCACTAGATTATAGCAACTTATTTATCCCTTGAAATATCAGATTTTCTAAAATTCGTCCTGCTGATGATGGTCCAGGCAACTATTAACCCAGAGAAGGAAAAAGGAAACAAGCACAACAGAGCTTATTAATCTAGTAACCTAGTTCTCGGGGGTCCAAAGTGTTTCATCTGGTCTTGAGTTCCTTGAGTATTCTATATCCACTGGTTTCCTATGCTTTGCAATATATATATTGCACTATGTTTCAGTTCAAGTTTCATCAGTCCCTACATCTGGACTTCATGCCCATGAAAATAATTTTTCTGAAGAATGATATATTGAAAATTTATCACAAATGTATGAGGAAAGACCTAAGTTTTAAAAACTGATTCTGGACGCTTCCCAGGTTCTCATCTATGCATATTCAATAAAGTGGGCAACTTTCCTAGCAGCAGGGTTCACGTAAATGGTACCATTAGAATGTGAGATAGAAGAAAATAGCTGCTAACCAGGCAGATGAGCAATATACGGATAGAAACAAGCTTGATCTTGCAGTACCAAGAAGGCCCTTTAGTAGTATAGAGTAATGCCTGCATATAAACAGCAAACATAAGGAGCAAAACAGACAAAAACCGAGATTACATTAACACAAATACAAATATCCAATATGTATATTGCAAAATGAAGTTCAAACATGGCGCGACTATATGATTGCAATATGCATATAGGTATGTATCAAATGAATATGATAAGAAAGAATGGGTGATGGTTTATAAACAACTTCTTACAAGACATCAGGGAAAATCAAGAAACAAGAACTCAGGAGGGTTCTTCAACGGCAAAAGGAAGGGAATAAACAACTGTAAATCAAAATGTTTCTATTGCTCCAATTTACAATCGTCAATCATGCCACAAATTGATTAGTGAATCAAATTCCCATTCCCATCAAACACTTGCTAAACCAAAAAGCTATCCAGTAGTATAAATTTATTTTAACAATAAGAAAGCTCCTAAATTACTAATGCATGGACTGCTTAAAGTTATTTAAGATTATCCACCAAAAGGACTTATGGTACACCTAAAGCCACATATCAAAATCTCAACACCCCTCAGTTCTCAACTTCTTTTTCCAGGAAATTTGTACTAGAAGATGATAGCACTTGACCACATCTCCATAAAGCATCATCAGTATAGGAAAAAAGATGATCAAAAGGAAATTATATGAATCACCTTTTCAGGAGATCTTGGCGATGAACTATAAGGGCGGGAATCAGATACACTGGAAGATAAACTGGTAATGCTCTCTTATAGGCTTGAACTAGGAAAGAAATAATATGCGCACTACACGACTGATCTCCATGTACAATCTGCATGAATTGTGAAAGCTTAAGACTTCAAATAACAAGATTGAAGTTAACGAAGTTTAAACAATTTTGATAAAAATGACAAACAAATGCAACTTATTTTCACATGGTAGGAAAAAGGTAGAATGATAATTGAAGAATCCATACCGAGCAGGGAACTTCCATGGCTGGATCTAGTTTAATATTTGTTCCAATGGATTTGTAATATTTTTCTATTGCTTCCAAATTAGAAAAAGGTATGCCACTTGCAATCTCTTTTACACCTTGCAATATTACTGTATCCTTTCCACCATGTTTATTGAGAAAAGATTTGTATGATGGAGGTAAACTTTCCTGCTTCAATATGTAAGCAGACCTGAGAAATGAATTGTTTCCTCCTTTTAGTCTTAGTACAGTCTAGGAAAAGTAATGGGTATCAAAAGACCCTAAAAGTTAATGGTAAGCAGAAAAACTTGACAACTTCGGTAATCTATAAAACACTGAACATACATTTCTAAGTTTGATACATATGAATGGGAAACCATCCAAAAGCAAAAAACATAAACTTTGAATTGAATCAGCAACAATATCCATTAACTTTCAGGTAGGTTTGGTTAGCAGTCACCAGATGATCATAATTAGGGTTGTAGAAATTGTAACTTCAAAAGCAACAAACTTTTTAAGAGTTTTCATTAGACATTGTGACTTAGTAGTAAAATCAGCTTTGACGATCAACAAGATGAATTCATAAACAGATGCAAAGGTCATGGAAGTTTTATCGTTTTCCACATATGGCAGTGCATTTCCATCATTGCACCATAAGAGAACATTTTGCACTCATGCCATCGTTAGCAATACTTTGCACGAAAAAGGAACATTTTGCAGTAAAGGGTACATACAGAATTTGCGAAGAGGAGAGACACATAAGAAAAATGTCACCATGAGCCCAAGTGAGAGGTTTACAAATGCCCCCGAAACGTTTGCTTTTAATCCCACACCGCGACGCCAACACAGCAGCACGCATAAGTATGTATATGGCCAAGCTCGTATGCTGCGTGTTCAGGCCAGTGAGAAGCATCGATGGCCCAGCTACAGCTCCTGCTAACAAAGCCCTCCATTTGGCTGTCCTGAACTAGAGTAACAAGCAACAACCAAACCCATCAATTAAGTCAGGTTAAACAGAAATTTAGTTTAAGCAGAAAATGAGAAATTGAATCATGGAAGAACAGGGAACTTGCCTACGGTGACCAGCCAAAGAACCTATAATCTCATCCACTGAAACAAATGTACCAGCAAAAGTTCCAAGAAATAGACCATATCTCAATGTCTCTTTCAAAGCAGTAACAATAGCTTCATTATTTGTAATCACACCCTCCTTCCTGAATAATAAAAATAATCATTACTTAAATTACCATAAATTTGGATTATTGAAAATTCGTTGCTCGGTGAGTTCTTCACCTGAGAGAGGCTAAGAGCTTTCGTCGTCTCAATCGAGCTAAGATGGAGAAAATGGCGAGCCCGCCTTTGAGACCGGCTCCGATGGTGAAGCCCTTGATTGAGGCAGTTACGACCCGCCGTAGCTTTTCCGAGTCGCTCAACGGCACCGAAACGTATCCGAGCGAAGAAGAATAGTAAAACGACGACGGCGACGGATCGGATTTCTTGCAATGCGTACAATTCGGATCGGCGGATTCGTGGTGGTCGCCGTTGGGACGGCCATTTTCGCCGGCGAAGCATGTGCAGAGGTCGCCGGACGGCGACATGGTGCGGAACAGATTCGGGGTTTGCAGGAATGGCGTTTTTTGTGAAGAATACGAAGAATATTCGAAGCGGATGAGAGGAGTGTGCGTAGAGGCTTTGAGATTATCGAAATGACGAGTGAGAGAAACGCTCTCGAGTATGACAGTTTAGGCCGTTTGGAATGATGACGTGATAATTTTTATTTATTTATTTATTTCTATATGCACTTTAGTAGATGCTTTCTTATTTTTCTCGTTTTTTTTTTTTTGGGTCAACGAGAGGCATTTCTGGTTGGGAGAATGAGTATTTATTCTGTAAACTTATTTTCAGTCTTGTATTGGATAATCAGACAGGGCAGTTTCATTCATGGTCTGACCAAAAAAAGTTACATCTTGTAGAGTTGCTCTGCTTCACGTGGTGCTGGATATGGCTAATAAGGAGCAGTGCCTCTAGCCGACTCCCATTTGGGACAGTCGGCCGTGTGTGTGGGTGACTTTTGACCGTTGGCCTCACAATCAGGCTGCATGTATCGACATTTAATAATCGTGTGCTTGTGGGTGACTCTCAACCGTTGCACCCTATGTATCGACAACTAGTATTCATTCATGTACATGTGTAAGCGACTCTCCCAAGCAAAACCCGGCTAACAAGTTAAATTAACTTAACACTCTACTACCTCAATAACTAAACTTTAGTTGGTGAGAATATCCACTCAATCTTATCTCATCTAAAGTCGCATAATAGCTGTTCGGTTTGGTAGCTTTACATTTATATCTTCCGGCTTGTAGTGTTTGAACCCATAACTCATGATGTATGAATTGAAGTAATGAATATCTAAAAAAGCACGGAAGCTCCTTGCTCAAACATTTGGCATGTGACCTATTTAAAACGGAGAAGAGGACATTAGAAGATATAGTATATTAATCTCCATGACATAGGATCAATTGAATATTACATCACTAGTAACTTGCTTCGAAAAACATAAAGGTCCATAAGCATACACCTGCTGCATTTAGAATGTGATGAATGACTAGTATACTTTCTGCAGCTCAAAGCTCACCTTTATGCCCAAAAGCACTATGGCAGCACCACAATTTCTTTTGCAATTCCTCAGTGCTAACTACAGTGGTGCTTTCATACAAATACAGCCTCAAGGGAAAAGAAACAGAAAATAATGACAACCTAATTGTTGCAGCAAGTAAATGAGGGCAGCAAGCAGCAGACCACTTTCTCCTCCGAGTAGGCATGATCAGCACCGACAAAAACAGATGGTGTTCGTATGAATTTGCTTCAATTAAGCATGCATTGTCCCAATATGAGAATGTGGTAGCAAACATGATTAAAGTAGCACCAAATAATTGCTGTTTCCTGACCTGAATATGTTTCTTGAGAATGGAAATCAAAATTTGGCAGTGAACAAAACGGTTAGGCTTGCAAATGAGTTAGTATGAATTCAGAGAAGGCTAAGATGTGGACTATTTTTTATCTTTTGCAATACCAGAATCTTTTGGGAACATGAATGGTAACTGCTAAAGTCACTATAATCCTACAATTCTGAATTTATAGCCGGTGCTCCTCTCTAAGTATACTGTAAAATCTCCAATCATATTCCTTTGGTGGTTCCCATTTCATTTCTTCATTCTACCTTGAGAACAATCTTCATGAACTCATAAACAAAGTAACTTATTGCAGCTGAGGGAAGTACCTGAGTATACAAAACACCAGAGATAAGAAAACAGACATAACCTCAATGCCTACAATTTGAACGGAATGCAACAATCTTCACATGTATTGCAGAGGGATATAGGACATAGTACGACGATGCCAAGTATATACCTTTAAAAAGAGATGCATTCAGAACTTCTAACCTAGGGATCCATATACATCAAAACTTCAAAGCCATTGAACCAAAGAAATATAAAAAAAGAATATGACAACTGTATCACCATATTAACTTTTGTAAAACACAACAAAGTAGCTAAAGTAAATAGGGATCCATGTAATAACATGCCTGTAACAAGCTGGGAACAAGTCCTGCATAAAGAGCTGGGACACCTCCATGTTCCACTATTTTCATACAAGTTGCCAAGGCACTCATTTTAGTTGCCTGGACTTGCAATTGCAGCTGTCTCCTCACCACTTCAAACGGATATGTGGCAGCTTCTGCACAAGCACCAGCAATAGCTCCATAAAGTAATGTCCTAACGGGTCCCAGCTCCAGTTGGTCGAAAGCATTCAGGCCCAGCCCCTGTTGGCTCATCTTTTGAATTCTTTTCCTTCCATCTGGTGAATGCAGATAAGCTGATTTTAATATATCATAGACACCATAGAAAACTGCACCTGAAGGTGCCATGCTTGCGATGGAGGGTACCAGGCCCTTATAAAGTGAAAAGAACCCTTCAGTTTGGATCATGTGGCGGAAAGCACCAATTACACCACCTAAGACTTCCCCACCAGGAGCCACCAACTTAGTCCGAATCTGAAGCACACAACATCTAACTTAGCATATATAACTAATTGCATGGTTAGTGTATCTTGTAATAGCAGGGTACAATTAATAATATCATAAACTTTGTTTTTATTTCTTTCATTAGGCATAACCAAAGTTAGATCTGCTTCAGTGTGGACTAACTTCCAAGAATGCAAACTTAGTAGTCAATACCAACAAAAAGCATGAAGTGCTCAGCTTACAGGTAGGACATTTTCGTATTTCTTCCATTAGAAAGGTAAACCATAATTTCTATCTTAAAATGAAAAAAAGAAGAAAAGGAAACTAAAGCATCAAAAGGAAGACTTCACTTTCAATAAACGAAAGGAGACATTTATCTATGCACCATACCCAAGATTCCAAACAAATTATGCTTTCACCACAGAAAATATCACAGTGGGATAAGTTGTTTAGAGTGGGCTACAATACAACCTTCAGCATAAGTTATTTCAGACTATCTTATAATCTATATCTCTGCCAAAACGAGTTCCCAAGTGAAAAGGCATACCCTTGTTGAACACTTGCAATTACATGCATACTTTCTATTGGCCTAGATTATGGAAGGGAAAGCGAGTTAAATCATGTAGGTTTAGCTGTGTCATTACCTTTTCAAATCCTCGCAAACAGATTCTTGAATTTCTATTTCAACCACTTAGCATAACCCAATTTCACTAGTAATTGATCAAACAGCAAAATCCTAAACAGTCACTTACCGTGTCAAGAGGTAAGCAGAGTATGGTAGCAGTAATTCCAGCTGCAGCACCGGCAACAAACCTCTCAAAATTTGTAGTCTCCTTATTTCCGGAGAAGCGGAGCAATTGTTTTCTGTAAGTATCATAAGCATAGAAATTGATTGCTTTAAATGGAGCTGTACGAAGAATATTGACTAAGTTCCCCTTCCAAAAGCCCCTCAAGCCCTGAGAAACCGCAATTGACTTAACCAGCTCGAATAGATGCCTCTGTTCTCCACGAACTATATATTCCAGCTTTAGTCTCTCAAGAGGTGCAACAAAAGTTCTGACACAACAACATTCAATCAGCCACAAATGAAGTGCTAAATGGTAACAATCACAGAGCAACTCCTAAGTCTAATACTATAATTTTCCGGTTCTCAATTTCTGTGTGTCATCCAGTTCACGAAACATGAAATTCCAATTTCCTATCCATAACACTCCCGTAACTTACTGAAATCAACAAATTAATACAATCAACTGAAATTAAGTCAATGAGAAATCAAATTCCTTCAAACTATTCTTCTAAACTGTCAAATGCAATATATACCAATTACCCAGAATAGTTTGAACAAAATTATGAATTATAAAAAGCAAAAAGCAGACCTGGAAACCATGGCGGCTATAGCACCAGCCCACAAATGCTTGGTGGTGTTCATAGCTCTACCTCCCCTAATCCCAACTTTCTCTGTCTTCATCTCTTCAACCACCGCCTCCTCCGAATCCTCATCTCCGTTCTGCAGCAAACACCCTTTGGATTCCCGTACAACCCCATCGCTTTTCAAGCTCACCGACAAGAACCCACCTCCAGCCACCGCTCTCAGCCTAAACCCATACGACGAACCAGACGCGGAAACGACAGACTTCCGGAACGACACCACGGAATTGAGCAGAGAATTGGAAATTGTGGGTTCCAAAAACAAGCCGCCGGTGATGAAAAGGCTCGAATTTGGGTCGTCCATTTTATGCGTGGGAATGGGATTGAATAGGTTTTGGGTTTTGTGGGCTGTGGCTGTCATCGTCTTCGTCAGAGTGTGTTTGGATTGTGAGGTTGGAGAGTTCGAGGGATTGGAATGCGAATGGGAAGAAGAAGGGTTGGTGAAAATGGCGGATTTGGCAGCTTTGCTTCCATCGCCAAACATGCATAGTACAATTCAGTTCCCTCCTATACAGTATACTATGTTTATTCTATCATTTCTTATTTATTATTTTTTACTTTTATCTATCTCGCGCTAATGATTGTGTTTGTTTAAGTCGGAACTATTTGTCTTTTCCATTTTATTTTTGTAAATAAATTAAGATAAATACGATTTATTTTATTTTAGTTCTTCAGACCAAAAAAAAAAGAGTTATAAAGTATGTCAAAGAGGAAAGGAGAATTGACCAAAAAAAAAAAGAGTTATAAAGTATGTCAAAGAGGAAAGGAGAATGTTGCTATTGATGTTTGGGTGGTAATTTTTTGTTTATGCCCAAAATGAAGCCGATAAGGTGACACCAACCACCAAACTACCTTTGTTAGTGTGCTCATTTTTGCAGATAAACGATGATTCAACAATGTCTTTAATTGACTATAGTTGGTTTATCGATAAATCGGTGAGATGCAGTCAATTTTAAGCAAAAAATGAGGTGTGGCTGATGCAATAGAGTCGAGGGAAAGAAGACAAGAATGAGAGAGAGGCCATACAATAAGAGAGAGAGAAGATGAATATGAAGGAAGAGGAGAGAGAGGGTTGTAGGGTTTAGGGTTTAGCCCTAAACTCTAAACAAATACACCCAATTCGGTTTGGTTGAACATGGTACAATTAAAGTTTAAATCATAAATTATACAGGTTCAACCAGTCTATTCGATCTAAACCTAATTTGTTTAGCAGTTGGCGGGTGAGCACATGAGATGATGACATTTTAAGAGCTTCAAAACAATATATTTTTTCTGTGAGATGGAGATAAAAAGTTTTAAACTTTATAACTGTATTCTTTTATTTCATCAAGAAAAAAAAAAAAGATTTACTATTATATCTAATATAGGGGCCTAAATTATTAAAAAAAAACACATGAAATGGACTTTAGAAGCACATCCAAAGCTCATTTACAACATAACAAAAAGACTTCGAATTTCCTATAAATTACAAAACTGCCATCGATTTCTTAAAACGAGTCCAACCCCAAAACCTCGTAACAAAAAACCCAAAACAATCAATAGGGCATCAAAGTAATTTAATAATCAAAATTAAATTCAATCGGGTAAGCTGTCATTTTTTGGGTGTTTTTTAAAGTTTGTTTATAGAAATTAAATGGTGTAGAGTTTATTTATATCACTAATGCTAAGAATGGGTATATCTATATATCTCCCCCAAAAAAAAAAAAAGCTTCCTTTTTTACTTACCAGAAAATAGCGAGAAGGATTTTTTGCTGAGAATAGTGAAGGATAATAGTGAACAATAGTCTCACCTTTTAAATAAATTATATTTTTCACTTGCCGCAAAAAAATTAAACAAATACTAGGCCTTTTTTAAGGGAAGTGAAAACTATAACTGTGTCAACATTACTTTGGCGCCAAGATAATTTCAGTTCCAAAAATCGCAGAGCTCCAGAGAGAGGGAGAGATTGATAAACAAATTTCTAGGGCTTTCTCTGTGCGATCAATCTTAGATTTCAAAATGCAAAAGCTAGGTTTTCCGAGTATGAGGAGCTTGGATAAATTCAAGTCCCTCTCGAAATCGGTCTCAGGAACTTCGAATATCTTCGCCTACTCCTCGCGTCCTCCAGATTCGACCTCTTCTGGAAGTTTCGCAAATTTGAAGCTCACCGCAGGTTTTTACTGGAAATTTTTGGTTTATTGGTTGATTCTCTCTGGAATTAGGAGTTTCTGAGACGAATTGTCATTGTTTTGTTCGTTTACAGAGAAATTAGTGAAAGAGCAAGCTTCTGTGAAAACTGATCTGGAAATGGCGGTACCTCTCTCTCTCTCTCTCTCTCTCTCTCTCTCTATCGCTTTCTATCAGTGTGTGTGAGTAAATGAGCTTATCTTTCGTGCTTGTGAAATTGTGTGGTTAGGTTTTTGTGTCTCACTATCTGCGTCGATTTGTTAGGATATCAATTTATTGTAAATAGGTGAGATTCATCTATCTCTATAAATTCGAAGGTATCTGATCAGAGATTTAAATGATAAATGCAGAACACTAAGCTGAAAAAATCAGTGGAGCACATCCGTGCATTAGAGGAAAAATTGCAGAATGCTTTCAATGAAAATGCTAAGCTTAAGGTGAAGCAGAAGGAAGATGAAAAGCTGTGGAAGGGACTGGAGTCTAAGTTTTCTTCAACCAAAACTCTCTGTGATCAACTCACGGAAACTTTACAGCTCTTAGCTGGCCAGGTTCAGGATGGTAAGTCTTATTTTGAGTTCTCTGACCTTTCACATTTTTCTTATGTTCACAGTGTTATTTATCCTTAGCTTGCTTTAACAGCCGAGAAAGACAGAGAGTCCTTTGAAGGAAAAATCTCTGCGAGTGCAATAGCTCTTGATGGTTTAAATCAACAGATGAATGGTCTGTCTCTAAAATTAGAGTCTGCAGAGGACATTATAAGGAACCGTAAGTTGTTTCCCTTTCATTTCCTTTTCCTGAGAGAATGTTTAAATTTTAGAATGTAGGGATGATGCAATATTTAACTGGATAAAGGTGAATTTTCCTTTCTGTGATGTTTCTGAATCCTGACTGTAGGTGAAACAGAGCTGGAGGTATCGCTTTCTATCAGTGTGTGTGAGTAAATGAGCTTATCTTTCGTGCTTGTGAAATTGTGTGGTTAGGTTTTTGTGTCTCACTATCTGCGTCGATTTGTTAGGATATCAATTTATTGTAAATAGGTGAGATTCATCTATCTCTATAAATTCGAAGGTATCTGATCAGAGATTTAAATGATAAATGCAGAACACTAAGCTGAAAAAATCAGTGGAGCACATCCGTGCATTAGAGGAAAAATTGCAGAATGCTTTCAATGAAAATGCTAAGCTTAAGGTGAAGCAGAAGGAAGATGAAAAGCTGTGGAAGGGACTGGAGTCTAAGTTTTCTTCAACCAAAACTCTCTGTGATCAACTCACGGAAACTTTACAGCTCTTAGCTGGCCAGGTTCAGGATGGTAAGTCTTATTTTGAGTTCTCTGACCTTTCACATTTTTCTTATGTTCACAGTGTTATTTATCCTTAGCTTGCTTTAACAGCCGAGAAAGACAGAGAGTCCTTTGAAGGAAAAATCTCTGCGAGTGCAATAGCTCTTGATGGTTTAAATCAACAGATGAATGGTCTGTCTCTAAAATTAGAGTCTGCAGAGGACATTATAAGGAACCGTAAGTTGTTTCCCTTTCATTTCCTTTTCCTGAGAGAATGTTTAAATTTTAGAATGTAGGGCAATATTTAACTGGATAAAGGTGAATTTTCCTTTCTGTGATGTTTCTGAATCCTGACTGTAGGTGAAACAGAGCTGGAGCAACTCAAATCTGATAAAGAAGAAAGGGAAAAATCTTACAGAGATGAACAGAGCAGAACTGCAAATCTCATAGAGGAAAAAGGTAAACATCTTATGAATTAAGACTTTAGGTGGCCTCGTCACTTAGTTGCAACTAGATATTGCATAATGAGCTGAAATTTCTGGAACTACTGTATTTTTGGCCATTATAAGCCAATCTTGCAACTAAATAATTTTAAATTACAGTTCATGGAGCTTTACAATTCAGTGCTTTTGAAGATGGTTGAAGCTATGCATGCATGTGTCATATGGCTCATGCATTAGTTTTTCCTTTCAATGTAGGCAACCTTCCACATAAATTGCTTTGTATATGGTTTCTTGCCCTTTAAGTGATTTTCAAATATATTGCGTGTACAGTTGTACATCAACCCTGTAACTCTCAACATTTTGACTCGTAAGGGTGAAAAAAGTGAAAAATAAATAAAAAAAATCTAAATTCAAGTTACTGATAGAACTGCAGGTCTATCAGTATTCCTCTTACCTCTGAAGCCTCTTAAGGAATACATGCTTAATATATTTCTACCCCTCTCAGATGTTCAGCTTTCTCTAAACTTTGTTGCCATACAAAGATAAAATTCTTATCCACTTGAATCAAGATTTTCTCTTAGAACCATTTTAGATCTGGTAGTATGTTTTTGCTAGTCAATAAAGTACTGTCTAATTAATGTATGCACTTTTCTTTAAAAACAAAAAACAAAACAAAAACATAGAAATGTTTGAAGGCATGCATTGTTAGGTTTACCTCCATGTTCCAGTCATTGAGAAAACAATTGCACCTTGAGCATGTTGAATGAAATTCAGAAATTATTATTTCAAGTTGTCATGGGAATGTTTTATAATGTTTGTCATTTATGTCATTCCTTGCAGATGCTATGATAAAGAACTTTGAGGCAACTCTAGCAACTAATAGGTTGGCTACAGAAAGTTTGAACTCTAAGTTGGGTGAGGTGCGTCTTGAGTTAGAATTGAAAGAGGATGAAATCAAACGTTTGATAACTGTCCAGGAAAACTTGGAAAAGGAAAAGCTCGATGTTCAATTGAGCAACGATGACCTTGTTAAGAGATTAGATATGTCTGTCCTTGAGATAAAAAACCTTGAAGGGTTTGTTCATGTGTTGGCTGCACACTTGGTCGAATTGGATAAACAAAGTTTGGATTTTTTAGACAAGTTTGATAAGCTAAACTCTCTCTATGACGCGTGCTTCAAGTTGGTCCAGCAGGAGAGAGACCTTTCTACCAAGCTTTCTCAGAGACAGTACGATCAACTGCATGATAGATTTCTGACCTTAACATCAGAAAAAGATGCCATAGAATTGGTAAATCAGGAGTTGAACAATAAGGTCCTCGAACTCCAGAAAGTTCAGGAGTCTGTTGTGGCACAGCTTTCAGAGGAATGCCGTATAGCCAGAGAGAGGATACAGAACTTGGAGTCTGAAGCAGAAGGTCTGGTCTCAAAGAAGATTGAAACAGAGAAGTTGGTCTCCCAATTAGAACTACAAATTGATTCTCTGTCAGAAAGTTCAAGATCATCTGAGAACAGAATGGTTAGCAAGTTCCAACACGTTGACCTTTTGCGTTTGAGCGGCATTTTTGCCTTATTAAGCTTTGTTTTATACCATCTTGCAGCAAGATCTGTTGCTGAAAATTTCGGCATTAGAAACTGAGAGTAAAGATAATACAGAGAA